TGGGATAAACGAAGTATTTATTTCGCAAGGTCGCAGGTTTCATTAAATTTAGGAATGAAACGTTCGGCTTCTGTTTAATAGTAGCTTTGTTCCAACACAGCAGTAAACTGTACATGACAAAAGCTATAATTTGTGGGGAGAATCCGAAATTCGTATATGTGCCTTGCGTTCGGTATTTTGCTCAAAGAGCAGAGCGTGCAGAGCAGAGCTGTAATCACGTGACCAGCGAGCGCACAGAGCAGTTAAACGCTGTTTCAGGGGGCTCGAAATTTCAATTAATGAACGTGAATGAGCCTGCACCGAGTACACTTATCAAATAAACGAACGGTAAACTTAGGCTCGGAGAACTCAGATCAAAATACCAAACGCACGGGTGGTTTCGAGACCGTTCATAGGACGGTTTTTGAAGTGATGGAACAGACCTATTGTATCAAAGTAATGTCCCTTGAGTTGCGACAGCCTGCTGCATTGCTGCATAGCTAGGATACTGCGGGGCAAGGCATGATTTAAAAAAAAAAAACATTCAAGTACATCTGATTGGTTTGTTGGCAAGGTATTTTATATTTCCGTATAGCATTCATTTGATTCGTGACGGCTATGTTATAATAATATTTAATAGGTACATAATACAATACAGGGTGATCTACGTAGCCTGTGCATTAGAAGTTTTCAAAGTTGCAGGAGGATTAGAGACTTCAAATTTGGTTTATAGTCATAATCAATCGTTCCAGTGTCACCTGAAATATTTTCAGATCTTCAACTATACAGGGTGTACCAAATGTAAGCACTTACTTTCTTGTTTCAAATAGAAACTCGCATCTTTTTCAACATAGTTCGGTTGGCCTTGAAATTTTGAGTTTGGACCACCCAAGTTTTATCAATCTATCCCAGTTGTACAATCTTGATTCGAAACAGAATTCAACTGAACTCGACTGGTACTTGAACTTCCCCATTTGAAATGCATAGCTGTTAAAATTGATAGAATTTGATTAATAGCTGACAATAGTATATTTTAAATGGGGAAGTTCAAGTTATACCAGTCGAGTTCAGTTGAACTTTGTTGTGAACCGAGAGTGTACAACTGGGCCTTATAGTTTTCGAAATAAATGTCATTTTTTGTTATAAATTGCCGCTGTAGTTATTTAAAAAAAAAAACAAGGTTTCTCGAAAACCGTTCTAAAATAATAAACTAAACTTGGAAGATAAATTGCTAAATGTCCAGGCTAAAGCCTAGTACTCATAACTGCGAAATTCGCATTTTTTTGACATTGCGTTGACAATCTGACGTTTTATGCGTGTATCAAACGTTAAATTGTCGAAGCAATGTCAAAAAAATGCGAATTTCGCAGTTATGAGTACTAGGCTTAACTCCTGATGTGTCATTAGTGCGCCTATTTTATACCATATGGGTGCAGGCGACCTACAAACATCGCAATCAAAAATGGTCGAAAAGTCTATTTTTTTAAATGTCACTTACCAGGTTTTTTGGCACCATTCGAAAGAAAATTGAATTTTACATCGCGTTACTTAAGCATTCCCTATGCCTAACTTGATTCGTTATGGAGTTATGCATAGAATAGTCCACTTTTTCTGACTAGGCAGTCAAAATACACTTTTCACGCCTGTCAAGTGTCAATAAATAGCCGTTATAAATGTAGTTTGGAGAAAATAACTATTCTTGCTGTTGTTTTTTTTTTCTGGTTGACACATCAAGGAAGGAGTGGACAAGTTTCGGGATTTCTCGATTTTTATGAATAAAAAGGTCTGGGCACACATGACCGCACCGAGTCCGCACCGAGCCCGCACCGAGACACGGCCGTGTCTCGGTGAATAGTTGTACCGTGTTTTCTTATGTCGTAGTCTTCACATCTACGCACCGTGCCCGCGCCGAGCCCGAGTGACACCACCGCACCGCGTCCGTACCGTGCGAGATTAGTTTTGTTTAATTTTTGACGGGCACGGTGCGTTGCAGAAATGGAGAAACTGATAGAAGAAGTCAAAAAGTATCCTGTATTGTACGACCAAAGAAATGAAAAATATAGGAATGCTGAATATAAGGAAAGGGTATGGACTTTAATTGCTACGCATTTAGAAATAAAGGGTAAGTCAAAATACATATGTTTTATTTTCAATTAAGAATCCTGTTAAAATAGGTTGAAATTGATTATACCTACTATACAGGGTGAATCTGAAAGTGAGGTTTTATTTTCAAAAGGATATATATCTCCACCAAAATAAGACTCCATATAAAATATTTTGTTTACATTTCCTCACAAATAAAAACCGGGTACAATTTTTATCGTATTTTATCTGATAAATATTATGTAATACTAATTTTTCAAACTGCCAAGGCCATTTCCTCTTGCCAGTCTACACTGCCTTCTGGAGAATTTAAAAAAGTTGTCAGCTGTTCTCGGACAGTAAATGCGGCATTTGCTGCTCTTCCACGAAGGCGAGGAAGATCCCTTAGAATTGACGATCTGTCGGATGTTTCATTTTGTTCATTTTGACGGATTCCCTGTTCGGGTAGCTCGTAGCTTTCATTTTTTCGAATAAAATTGTACAAAACACAGGTGCACAGAATATACATTGTTAGGTTTTCAGGTTTTCCTTGAAGCCTTCTACTGTATATTCGAAATTTTTGCTCTAAAATGCCAAATGAATTTTCGGATATTCTTCTTGCTCGACTTAAACGATAATTGTATATCCTCTTCTCATCTGTCAAGTTCCTTCCAGGATAAGGTCACGTACAGGCAGGAAGCCAACTGACGAAGTGACAAACTACCGACCGCACTCGTAGTACGACCGTCATGCGGCCGTGTGTTGGAAATGTGTGGCTTTTACCTTATTGAGCGACACACTGCCGTGTTACTGCACGGACTCGGTGCGGGCTCGGTGCGGATACGGTGCGGTCATGTGTGCCCAGACCTTTCTCAATAACGAATCAAGTTAGGTATAGGGAATCCTTAAGTAACGCGATCCCTAATTCAATTTTCTTGCAAATGGTGCCAAAAAACATAATAGATGACATTTAAAAAAATTGACTTTTTGACCATTATTGATTCCAATGTTTTTAGGTCGGCTACACCCATATGGTGTGAAATGGGCGCACTAATGACACATCAGGAGTAAGCCTAAACTTTCAGCTAATTATCTTCTAAATTTGGTTTAATATTTTCAAACGTCTTTCAAAAAACATTGTTTTTCCTAAACAACTGCAGCGTCAATTTGAAACAAAAAATGACATTTATGTCAAAAATTCTAAGAGATAAGTTGACAAAATTTGGGTGGTCCAAACTCCAAATTGCAAGGCCAAATGAACTATGTAGGTTGAAATAGATGCATGTTTCTATTCGAGATAAAAAAAAGTTAGTGATTACATTTGGTACACCCTGTATAGTTGAAGATCTGAAAATATTTTAGGTGATACCGGAACGATTGATTATGGCTACAAACCAAATTTGAAGTTTCTAATCCCTTTGTAAGCTCAAAAACTTCTAATGAACGGGCTTCGTAAATCACCCTGTATAGTGCTGTTCTGTTTTTTTTTTTGAGTAGAATAATAAAAAACAAATTTCAATACTTTTTTCCTAGTGGTTCACAAAAATTATGTTAACACACTATAGAGGCTGGAAAACGTCTCACGCATATTTAATGGCTATTATTTTTTTTTAACAATTTCCAAAATGTTCTCTATAAATAAAAAGGTCCTTAGTTTCTGCATTACTCACAATTAACCATAAAATAAAAAAAAAACAAAAATTAAAAGTAACCTTTTGCAATAGGTACCCAATTTTATAGGTATACAGATGTTTTATATAAAAAAATAAAAGTAGCGAGCGAAAGCGTCACAATCAAATTCGACTAGTTTTTATTAATAACATATTTAAAAAAATTTAAAATACTTAAGTAAATTTCAAAATATTTTGGCATCCTATGTGAAAATCAGCAAACATGATGTAAAAATCAGAGGAACTTAAATGAATATTTGGATCGCGCCCCGCCAGTGCCAAGTTGTGCCATTGGGAGACGACGTGGGAAATAATGTAGAAGAGACTTCGAGAACCAACCTGCTCATCCTTCAACTATCCCAAAAACTAGTCTGTAGAACGACTTACTTACACTAACTTCCTAGCAATAGGCTTTGGTTAAGGTTTTATAATCGTGGTTAGACGCTGTATTCCCGTCCATCTTCAGGTTGCTATGTCTTGATAGTTATTTTTCACAACTTTGCTTTTCAATTGCCATAACATCTCACTTTGCTGTAGTAGTCTCACATATGGTTTACATAATTGCTTCGGGGTTTCTGTTAGCTTCTTCAACAGGCTGTCTGTTTTGGAGAAGACAACATTAGGATAATTGTTTTGAGCTTGAATACTTGATTCTTGTCAACTATTAAAAGCAGGCTAACTCAAGTTGCTCCTTTATTCTTGAAACTGCATGCCCTGTCTAATATGTTTTTTATACATTGCACCTAATATGTCTTTCATACATTACATCCTTTCTCACTTTATGCAACTAATATGTCTTTCATACACCGCAGCCTTCCTGCCTTTTTTGTTTTTTCGTAACTTCCGAATTCCTTGTTCAGAAAAGGTCCAGAGATCTCGCCTATTTATTTTTTAAATTATTTTATCACAAATTTCTACTGCTGTTATGTATTTTTATTAACTATTAGTTGTATTTGAATTTGACGAGAAAGGACAAGAAAAGATGGCTAATATGAATATTCCACATTTGCCACAAAAATCCTGAAATGTTTTGCAACCATGCAATTTAAATCGTCAACAATGACAGTTCAATAATGTTTTCAGGATTAGGACCAAAACATCACTTTTTTGACCCAATTTCTATTCACCCAAAAATGGAACATATTTATATACAATTGATTTTGGGATCGATGATAATCTTATTCGGCTCTGCCACATTTCAAGAATGTTTCAACTTCTTATCTATTGTGTTGTGGAAAATATATATATAAATATGATTTTTCGTTTTAGGTTTGGCTATGTGAAAATACCATGGAAATAATGCCTGTAAGTATTTTTTTTTAAGCATGTAAGTATTTAGGCGTGGTTTATATGTTTTCCAATACTTTAACAATCAAATCTAACTAAGTAAGAACTTTCATACAAAAGTCAGTTCAAACTTTTCAGGATAATGATTTTTATTTTCCAATATGAGTTTTCGGGGGAATCATAATTATTACATACAGTGCCACCCTTAAATTCCACATCATATGAGAAACTGTTTTTTTCTGCAAATGTCAGGACACCTGAGGAATAGTTAGTTTCCTAGTAAGTGCGGAAAAAATTTTCCGCACGCGATTGCTTTCAGCCGAACGACGGAAAGCGAAGTTCGAATAGCAATCGAGTTTGTTAGGAATACAATTTTTGCTACGACCGTGCGACACACTTGCGAAAAAATTACTTTCCGCACGCTCGTAGGAAAACTGCAAATTCCATAAGAACGCATATATTTTCTGGTAGGATCATGCAATACACACAATATCCTTGAAAATCTGGTAAAATGTTAAAAGCCAGTTATTTTTTTCAATTTGTACTAACAAATTTAGACTATACCTTAAAGCATTGTTGAGCTAAAACTCCTTGTAATGTGATAAAAATAAATAAAGTGAATTCTGCTTTGAAATGTTGAAACTATGTATAGAGCCACTCTGCATCAAGACATAATTTTTTTCAGCATAATTGGATTTTCCGGAATAATCTGTTTCTTTTCAAATAAAATGGTCAGATTTAATTGAATTTGAATGAGCCAAAAATATTTTGTTCAAGAAAACGCTCGAGAAAACTTGAGAAAAATGGGTTTCCAAATTTCGTAGGTGAGTAGAAAATTTAAGAAAAAAAAGTTTTCTGAAAATATTTCAAATTTTGGCAGGTATAGCCGGTCGATATAAAATTGTCAACATTATTTTAAATTATTCTTCTACAAGCGTGCGTAAAACGTCACTTTTCCGCACGCATTTTAATTCGGAAACTATCTCTTTCCCGGGTGCAGGAACATCTGTGTAGAATTGACCAAAAGAAATGACAAACTCACCTGCTTAAGTTGCGTGGTTATAGGGTTGCTATGGTTATTTGATTAAAATGTTATCAAAGTTAATGAAACGAACTGTACTTTTAGTATCCATATTAATAATAAATAATTTTTTTTTTAGATTGTTATCTGAAATAAAATTTAGAAAAACATATAAAGTGTGTGCTTGTGGTAAAAATCTTTATCCTAACTCTTGCGGAAAGTAACTTTCCGCACTTGTTAGGATAATTACTACCATATTCCAAAGCAAACCACTTTTTGCTTTCCAAATTTGCGTTTACTAAATACTAATGAAACTTCCCGTATTATACAGACCATAAGTGCCCTACAGGGTGTTTTAGTTTTAAGCTGGCATGATTTGGGTGATAAATTGTAATTTGGGCGATTTCAATATTCCGTCATATGTTGGTGACTTATCTACGACCAATATCACGTAACTCCCTGAGACTCAAGCCCCAGGTATCATCCAGTCAAGTTCTGGATAGTCTCTGGGGCAGCTATATATATATTCATCAATGTGTACTGCGGGGTCCCTCACAATGATCAGAACAACCTATGTACAGTTAAGAGAAATCCCTTTGCTTTTGGAAGCATTTATCCGGAGCAAAGCCAGTATGCCTTCATGTTAACGTTTTATTGCCGTTTATCATCAATTTCACTGGTGCAATATTGCGAGAGCTTGCATAATTTAGTCAGAAACGTTCTTGCTTCTCTCTGGATATTTTGCTATATCCGTTTTAGTCTGAGGAACGAACATCAAGATAATCGATGACTTGGCTCTTCATAGCGAAGCCTACTCTCGTGGATTCGAGGTCATTTTCATTCTTTCCCTCCTAAAAAATTTAACTCGCCTGGAGTCCCTGGAGATAAGAAACGTCTTTAAGGAATGCAGCACCTTATTACAATCCCACCACTGAACTTTCCTGCAGATGAACTAGAGTCATATAAGAGAAGAATTAAATTAGTTTGGAAAAAGTTACTTTACAATTGCTACTCAAACTTACCAACTGCATTTTTTCCACCATTAGAATTTTGCATTTGAGCCACAGAAAAATCAGAAACTTATCAAGAAACTTTACAAGCCTGAAAAAAGGACCTCTCATTGTATGAATGTGTTTCTTTCTATTACAAGAAATTAACATTGAATGAAGGTCCCTAACTTCTGAGCCATGTAACAACTAACACAAAATTAAAAAAAAAAATTAAGTATTACAAAGGCATAAACCTAAATATACGATATTAGTTCGAATGGTGTGACGGGTGGTGCTGTATGTAACAACAACCAAACAAAAAACAAATATACAGGGTGATTTACGTAGCTTGTTCATTAACTTGCAGGTGGATTAGATAATAACACTAATCCACCTGCAAATGGAAATACTTCTAATGCAAAGGCTATGTAAATCAGGGTGTATATGTATAGCAATATAATTATTTGCAACACTACATATTTCAAAAATTAATTATGACTTGAAGAATCAAAATTACTGATTAGACAGAAAATTTTATATTCTTTCCTATTTAAGCAACTAACTTTCTTTCAACTTTTTCAAATATTTATAGCCTAACTTCTTTGTAATTTTCTGATCAACAGATGTGGTGTCCACCTACACCGCCTCAACAAGACAACGACATCTACGTAAACGCCAACATGTCCCATTTGTATGATATTAATATTATGCCGGAATCTCAACTTCCTCCTGTCTATGTTAAAAAGGAAACGCCAAAGCGACGTTTCGAAACAGCTTTTCCTATGGACCATCGCCGACCAGCAAAAATCCCAAAGAAAGAAGAAACGATCGCTACTGTTCCAAGATCCTTGTTTCATCCACCGACGCTATTAAAACTGAAACGCGATCTCAAACTGCAAAAGTACCGCGGGCTTATGAGACCAACGATATCGATACCAGGAAAACCTTTGCCTGGAAAATCGTCTTCGGATTTATCATTTCATCAGAATTGGACTATTCATGAAGACTTGGCTTTGCTAAAACTTATCAAATATTTTCAGAGACTACCTCTTAATTTGATTGTTATGTCTCCAGGAAACACACCTAATTGGGATTTTGCTGCTGATTATGTCAATACTGTTTCAATCACTTATCGATCTCCAAAACAATGTAGGCAAAGGTAAGTTGGAAGCTATAAAAATAAATCATGTTTAAAACGATAGGTTTGTTTAAACACGACACGACAAATTATACAGATGTTTTATTAGATTTGGCATTCTGTAATAGTGTCAGTGACAAGGTCTTTTGGGCTAGTGATAATTTAGCCAATTGTGATGAAACTGCCCTACTTTTGTGATTAAAATTGACTTCATAAGGGTTATATTACTGACTGTATAGAATATGAGAACGATATTCAACATTTTAGACACTGTAAATTTAGTAATGGTAGTCAAATTTTGCTTAATCGTAATTGTAGTGCAAACTTTTACTGGTGTCCACTATGGAACAAAGGTCTGATAAATTAGGATTTGCTCATCTGGACTGGCCCATTTAGTAGTGATTGAAGTCATCTAGCGGGTACAACGAATCCAATTGCAGCCAGTAGTCCGCTTTCACCATTTGACCAAAACTGAAAATTTCTTGCCATCTAGGTCGTTGTCCATTTTCTAGCTAGCCCCGTTCCATTTTCAATAATTGGCTGTCAGCATTTTCCAAATCTTCTTTGGTAAAGTCTTGGTCAGCATTTTTTTGAGTTTCGGTGACTTGGCCTTCATCTGTGGAACACCTCTGGCTATAGTCAAAACGCTGTATCCGCTCGGTTTTCCACAGTCGACAACAAGACACGGAACATATGTGTATGTATAGTATATTGTGCAACAACTTTGAACAAGCACTTTTCACACGCGTGGAAATGTTTGGTGGCACAAACCACACGAGTGTGAAAAGTGATTTTCACCCTTTTTCTACGACTGCGAAATAACTATATTCATATTAAGATTTTTTTAAAAATATATATACAGGGTGTTCTCTAATTGAATGTCAATATTAAAGGGGCGATTTTTGGGTCCATTTCAAGAAGAAAACTTCATATGAACGTATGTCCTAAAGGTCTTAACTTTTGAGATACAGGGTGATAAAGTTTTCAAAAATAAAGTATTTATTTTTATATTTATTTCGACCGTCTTATTATTTATATCTGTATCTGAAAATTGGCAGTACCACATTTTCCTAAATTTCCACCAGTGGCTTTCGTACCGAATTTGACCCGCCTATTTTGGCAGAAATGCAAGTAATGTTACGTATTTGGAAATATCAATATATTTATATTTATTATGCTTTTCAGCATTGAATATTGAGACCACATTATTGAAGATTTATATTTTTGAGATAATTCCTCAAAATAAACCACCAAAACATTTTCTGAGAAGGATTTCAAGTTTTTGCCTGTCTCCAGTTCATAAATAATTTATCATATTGAAAAAATCGAATCAATATCTCGAAATCAGGGCCAAATAGAAAAAAACTGAGAACGTCACTGAATTCTGCTTAAAAAAGTGCTTCTATAAAGTTTTTACGGAAATCAATAATTATTTTCATAAACAAAAAGTTATAAAGGTTTTACAATATTGCTCGAAATCGAGAAACGCCCTCTAGCGGCTAAACGGTTAAAGATATCAAAATGCGGTTTGCACCAATCAAGATTTCATGAAATTTGAGCCTCAGAGTTCATTTTTTTGTATCTTGCTCAGAAATTGACGTTTCCTATTGAAAGCGTCCAAATTCGGACACCCTGTATATACCGTTAAAAGCCTTTTCCAATTATCTCGATAATTTTTTACTTCAATTCTGCACGACACAATAATTCGCTCGGATTTAGCATGACTCCAACAAGGGAAGAACTACAAGAAACCTTCTAGATAATATAAATAAGTGGAAACAAAAATGTACAAGGCAAAATATCATAGACACAATAATCGTTGGGTGACACATGAATACATAGATAACAAAATTAAAGAATCTATAGATAAATTGTATGTGAGATGGAAAATGATTCCAAATGAATACACAAAAATAAATTTAGAAAAGTAAAAAAAAAAATTGAACAAAATTCGAGAACAGTAGGCAGAATTTTTTTTATTAAAGAAGTGTAGGGTGATAGCAAGATAACAAGTTCATTCCTAACAACTTGTGTTGTTGAAGCAAACGGAAGAATAACAACATAAGTAAGGTGACAATCAAGAATGGAGACACATGCAGTGATGATATAAGAATTGCATCAGAAATGAATGGGCATATTTCAATTATTATAGGACAAACATTGGTATAGAATATTCCAACACCATGGACTTCAATTTGATGAAGAAGTTGATAGTATCACGCTACAGCCAGCAAACTTGAAAGAAATCAAGACAGTAATAAGTGATTTAAGAAACCAGCTGCTCACCTGGTTTGGATAGTGTAACAAAAAAAGATATAGACACATCTTGATATTATGAGTGTGAAGATTGTAGGTACAAATAATAAATGAAGTTTTGGAAAGCGGACAATATCCGGAAGAGCTACAAATGGCAAAGATAGTGCCAATATACAAAGGTGCATATTATGATGATGTAAATAACTATCAACCTCATTGTTGAGGACTTTTAGTGAAATTTTCGAAAGGGTGATTGAGAGCAGACTCATTGACTTTATTGATACACATTTCAAGTTTGACAAAAACCAGTTTGGCTTCCAAAAACAAAGTGGCACACTTGGAGCATCAGTTGTGTGTTTATAGACTTACAAAAGGCACTTAACACTGTTGATATCGCAATACGTTTGCAGCTAAGTTTGAAAAACTGGGTGGCAAATGTGGAGTCATTACTAACATAGTCAACCGGTAGAAAGCAGTGTACTCAGGTGAATGGTATGGTTAGTACAGAGTCAAATGTCGGTGTTGGTGTAGCACAGGGCTCTGTGCTGGGTCTATTGGAGTATCTTCTGTATGTCCAGAGTCTTAAATATGCAGGATTAGAAGCAATGTATATAAAGTTTTGTGATGGCACGGTACTAGTGTATTCTGGTACAAAAAAGCAGCTATCAATATGGATCTTAGAAAGTATTTGACTGGCTGTGTTGTTATAGACTGACCATAAATTTGGAAAAAAAAACTGTTAACATGGTATTGACTCAAACAGAAAAGTCCAATTTATCTTGAAATTATAGAGAACTTGGAAAAGTTCAACAATACAAATACTTGGGACTCATAATTATAGAAAAATTAACCTCGGTTGCTCATACAAAGAATTGCTGAAGAAGTTATTCCTGTGCTATGCGCAATTAGAAGGTGTAGTCATGTTGAATATTAACCCAAAATATTTGTTGAACAAAAGTTTTATTGAACCACATTATAAGATACCTACTTATTGCCATGTTATGAAAATGCTAATGTGGATTTGATAAACAAACTTCAAACACTGCAAAATAAGTCAATAAAAACAATGTTTTCTATAAATTACTATAGGTACTGCTAGTGAAACCTTATCAGAAAATATCCATTCTTAAAAATTAAGCAACTAAAAATGTACGAGCAGGCTAAACTTATCTTTGAAATTAAAAATAACCTATTGAAAACAAACGTGGGATTGAATGAATGAATAGATCTCCTGCATAGATCTCTTGTGCGCTCCTTCTGGGGGGTGCTCCAGGTCTTTTGATCTGCCTTGGTGAGGGGGACCAAGGAACATTAATCGGAAGCTGTTTCCGGAGGCCGATCCATTTGGTCCGCTGTTCCTTCCTGAACACAATGCATGCGATGTTTCCTTTCCATTTTTCTCTGCTTCGTATGATTATTGTGGAGTGTTTCTTATAATTGAATGTTTTGATCATATCATCCCTGAGGAGCTCGAGGAGCGGGGGTATTGGAAGAAAATAAGGACTTTCATAATTATCCCCTAAGAAGTAGAGACAAATTAAGGAACACGTATCTACGAACTATAAAAGATAGACATATCAAACCATATATCGTTGAAATCAGGTTGATGGGGACTAGCAAATAAGTGCACAATATACATGGCGATCCATTTAAAATAATATAACTTCGCACTGCTACACTTTTTTGACACACCCTGTATGCTTGAAACTGACTCATTCAAAAACTTTTGACTATTTCTTAAAATTTTTGTATTTGACACCTTTGTCAACAACGTCAAATGAAAAAGTTACGAGGGGGTGACATTTATAATAGATCACCCTGTATGCAAAACGAGCAACATCTATTTAGTAAAACTTCACTTTATCAAACTTGCCACTTGATTGTCACATCATTTTATTCAATTTCAGATATGAAGGTCATTTGATGCCTAGAGAAGAAGGCAAGTATTCTGTATCAGACAATGCAAGTAGGAAAAAAAAGAAAACACTCCCACTGCAGAAAGCACCATCCCCGACTAAATCTAGACTACCCCCGCGGACTGCGCAATTATACACACAGGACAATAATTCCACCTTTTCGCAACTTATTTGTGAGAATCATAATAATTTAAAAACCATTGCAAGTAAACGTATACCCACTACTAGAACTTTGGTTAATAATCCCTTGATGAATAAAACCAAAACCACGCCAATTTTAAATGAGTGCGGTATCGATATAGAAAATCCTATCTTGCCAGTGGAAATAGCAGCGCGGAGAGCAGAAAGAATGGCCAAGGAGAAAAAAACTATGACACCTGAGCAGATAGCTAAAATACAGTTGATAAAAGGTAGTAGGTACATAGTAGAATACATACATTTTATTATGTTTTGTTATTTTAGCAGGAATAGTTGTCAGTCAGCAACAACAGCCTCAACAGCAGTCATCCCAAGACCAAGCTTCCACTTCCAAGTCTCAAACATGTGTTATGGTGCAGGCCCATCCTACAGTGGTAGCAGTGACTAGCACACAAGTCATAATGCCACAAGCAACAATAATTGCTCCTATGCCTATTGTTACCACTGCGCCTGGTTCTGGTATTCTCCAAAGTAAGTATTCTTGCAATCTAGTAATTTCGCAAAATTTGACACATTCATTCCTAGTTTGGATAGGTTTGAACAAAGTGGGAACATGATTGTAATTAAAATGTGTTTTTCAGCCAATCTTCGGCAACAACGTATCATAACATCGCCTCTACAAGGTTCCAATGTTGTCAGTGTATCTGGATTAACTCCCGCGCAGCTCCAAGCAGCTACACAGCGACTTTTAGTATCGACTGGAGGTACTCCGAAAGCGGTTACTTCAACGACAGGCCCTCAAACTAAACAGTTCAGCCAAGCTCAACTTCACATGATCAGGCAAGCTTCTATAAAGAACCAGTTGAGGTTACATACGAACAATCTTGTTCAGGGCACCAAAACTTCTACAGTTACGATAGGGGGTCAACAGACCGTCGTACAACTTACCCAGGCGCAGCCACGAACGCAATTTGTCCGACAAGGTAATGTCACTGTTGGAGCAAAAACAGGCGTAACGCGAACTGTAACAGAGAGTGAGGTCGCTCAGTTGCTCAAAAAACAACAGCAGCTTCAACAACAAAAAATCGCTGCCGGAAATGTTGTGCAGGTAAGCAGATTGTTTCCCTTTCATGGTTTGTTCGTTAAAAGATATTTCATCAGGTAGTTAACAATTCTTTTTGTTTTGCCTATAAACATCCCTTGGTACTAAGTGCCTTTCCTAATTGTCTAAAGTCTTCAATAGTGCTGCTCCTTTACAACATCGGCGACGTGCCTGAGTCCTCAAACTTTTGCCAGTGCACAAAGTACTACCTCTTTCCCCCATGACACCATATACCTTGTATACAGGGTGTCACGAAAGGTTTGTTACAAACTTCTAGGGATGGTAGATCTCGTAAAAATAAAACTTTTTTCTTGATAAACATGTGTCCGGAAATGCTTCGTTTTCCAGATATACAGGGTGGCCCAAATTTGAGCCTCATCATTGGGATCTCGGTAACCGTAAGAGATACGGGGTCGGTTAAATTATGGCAAAGTTGCGCAATTTTATGACTACCGTTATGAATACCGTTTTGAAACTAGAAAGATTCCGAATACTTCCGGAGATATTCGGAAAAAACCGAAATTTTGTAAAATCGTTTTTATTTTTTCCCGGGCTTATTTGGAAAGCAATTTTAAAATAAATGTCACTGATGAACCACCTGGCTCATTCATCTTCAGATAAAGTTACTGGTAACTGTCAAACTTACCAATTTAGACATATAACTGGCTGACCAATAGGATTATAGATTGTATTTTTATCCATCAGATTGCATTAATTTACAGTTTATCGGAATTCGGAAGATGAATAATCCAGACCTTAATCTGAGGGTAGTGCTGAACTTTGCTATGCGATATAAATAATGTTTTATAGCTTTTAAAACATCTTAAAGTGGGGCACTAAACAATGGACTAGAGTTATCTATGGAGTTCTCCTTTAAAATAATTATATTATTCTTCATATGCAAATAAAAGACAAACATCTACAAAGGTGCGAGATTCTGTATAGATCCCATACGTTTTATTTAACATTTAAGTTGCTTTAAGTTTGAATAATCCATGGATGGCTTTTGAGACTGATTTATTTTTATTTTCCAGGCTAGCAGTGCGACTGGAGTGGGAAATACAATCCACGGTTTAAGCCATCAAGTATTGGCTCAGGCTATACAACAAGCTGGCACATCTGGTGCTCAAGTGACGACCTTGGTTAAAGCAGTTCCTAGTTCACCTGGAGGCAGTATGTTTTTATTCATTCTACTGTGTTTTTATTAATTTGGGCTTATTTTGTATGGGATTTATTAATTATTAAATTCAATGCAAATTTTGAAAGAAAACTAAAAAGGTTTCAAAATTTCCTCAAAAAATTGTACAAGGAGATTTAAATGGGAGGGGTTTTTTTCAGATGGAAAAGTCACAATGACATTTTTCTTTTTGCGTAGATCAGACAAAATTATGTTTGGAGTGTATTTAAAGGGGGTGTGACCCTAAAAAACAACTTAAGCTACTTAAATTAAGAAAAAAAATCTAAGATCTCTCGATAAAACCGCAGTCCTATATTCAAAATAGTCTCCGAGAAAATTCCATTTGAAGATAAATTATGCAGGAGTTTGTGATGTCACAACCGCCGAAATCGCAGTCTTCTGTTCGTTCAGTCGTCAGTGAACCGTACCCACTACCGCACTTTAAGTGGTTGCAATACCCTCTAGGAGATCATTATCTTTTGTTTTGGAAAATTCTTACACATGTTAATACTGTCCCTGATAATCCAGTGTGACGTCACAAAAACTTAGTTGTAACTTTAAACCGCCGTAACTCGAAAACGGATCATCATAGCAAGATGCGGTTTAAATATTTATTCTTAGATTTTTTTGCACTAAAACTTTAATTTTTGGGTCACACCCCCTTTAAGAGTACATACATACTTTCTATTGTGGAAAACTTATACTAAATTTACCATTTTCCTCAAATTAGCTACTCACACCGTTACAATCCCTGTATCTGGCGTTACTCTAGCGACTCCAGGTGCCAAAGCTATTACTCCACTGAAGCAGGCCACAACACATCAGTTGCGCCAAATGCAGATCCAGCAACAAATTTTGGCTCAAAAAAAACTCGCGGCTGCGGTGGCTAGTAGTGGTCAGAAATTAAGCATCACTACTGGAACTGCCAAAGGCACTGGAGTTCAGACGACACAATTAATCATGACACCAAAACAAGGCATGACAGTGCAACAGTTCCAACAAGTCATTCGTGCTCCATTGAATGTGTCTCAGGGACCGATGGTGCTCTCGAAAGGAGCAGCCAGAGTGATTCCTGTTAACACAGTTCCAGGAACTAAACAAACGATACAGGTAAATGTTAATAATAGGAAAATAAAAAATTTTGCCATGTAATCAGGTAGATACACTGATCTAAAAAATAAATGGATAAACAATCATACGGTTTGATTGGCAAAATTTGTGCGAAAATTTGGGGTCAATATTCTACGAACAGTTGTGCAACGGAACAGCCTAACGCCTGCGCAGTGTCTAATCTTTCGAACAACTGTTCTAAATTTTGAAATTCCTTCATTTTCATTGGCCAGATTTTGTACACGCATAGTACTTGTATCTACTGCGCACGCTCACAGCTGTCCCATTCAGTTGTTTTTGTTTAAATTATGACCTCGTAAATTAGCAGCATTAGAAGCGTTCTTTGTTTATCCATTTATTTTTGAGATCAGTGGGTAGATATAGTAATTCTCTACAACTTCTTGATATAAATATTTTTGATAGGTCTGTTTCTGCAGAAATCACAAACTAGTCAGAGCGAATTTCATTGGTTGAAAATAGTCAGAAAACTAGTTTCAACCAATGAAATTCACTCTGACTGGTTTGTGATTTCTGCAGAAACAGACCTAATATCAAAGTCTATCTAATATTATGCGTATTAACGCCAAAAAGTTATAATTACAGAATGACTGGTGGTTAACGCTCTTAAGTGTTGATGAGTTTTCGTATGAAAACAACAAATAACAAACAACCTATAAACTATTTAAAGGACCTCGCACACCTTATATGAGATTTCGGCGATCGGTCGATTTTTTTCCAATTTTGATGGGTTGTAGAGGACTTAATTCTTAACAACCTTTAAATGGGATGAAATCTTGTAGGTATTAGGGTCTTTGAGATATGAGCGTTGAAAGATGAACTTTTTTGCGACTTTTTGTGTGGAGAGTATACGAAATACCGGTGCTACTGGTGTGTATTACAGTGACTCTATTACCCACAGTGGCGACAATTGCTGTCTTATTTTTGATTGGTTCTGAAATCCCATATATTTATATTGCAAACGCCGCCATCTTGTTGCCACCTATTGCTCATTTCAAATCTGAATATATGGGATTTAGGTGAACATCCATCATAAAACATGGAAAACAATGTATTTGATGGACTTAATTATAGTCATCAAATGCGTCGATTCCAATTTTTTATGATAGATGTCCATTTAAATCCTATTTATTATTATTTAAAAGTAACAAGAGGTTGGGAACAAAATGGCGGCGGGACTTCTATTGTCGCCACTGTATGTAAAGGTTTATTTAGCCACTGTAGTGTGTATCAGTCAAAATATTGACAGGTTCACATATTTTACGTCACTAAGAAATTAATGTCAACAGCAGTTCCGGCTTTAGCCCATGTTGACATTTGTTAGTGACGTAAAATATGTGCACCTGTCAATATTTTGACTGATAAACATTAGTAGCACCAGTATTTAGTATACTCTCCACACAAAAAGTCGCAAAAACGTTCATCTTTCACCGCTCATATCTCAAAGACCGTAAACACCTACAAAATTTCATCCCATTTAAAGGTTGTTAAGAATTAAATCCTCTACAACATATCAAAATTTGAAAAAAATCGACCGATCGCCGGAATCCCATATAAGGTGTGCGAGGTCCTTTTTACTATATCTACACTTATTCAGTCAATAGTCATGGCCAACAATGCCAATAGAAAACATCGTCATTGTCAAAAACACTCCACAGCTCAAAAGTAACTACCTGCCTGCCCTGCTTTACCTTTCAAACATCAAAAAACGGGTGCCATGTTGTACGTTACGTCGACATTAGCTGGAAATAAATTTCCTGGGCGTAGTACCAAAACTTATTTAGCACACGGTGATAGATCTCCAAAATGTTCAAACTACATGACAACTTTACATAAAGTTCTTAGGGCTGTGGTTAATATTGGTTTCACGACTTAAACGGGTTGTTTTTAGCACCAAGGAGGTGTACTAAAGAGAATTGAAGTACCGTTTTTAAAATAATTTTTAATCTGTTTGTGCTCATTTGTCACTGTGTTGGTCTCTAGTTTTATAATTTTATTTTATTTGTCAACCCATGGACATCCAGGGTTTTTTCGTACATTTATGAGAAAATTTCACTGGGTGAGTGTGCTTCACTATTTTGAAATAATTTATCGTGTTTGTATTCAGTTTTATATTTTTAGATTTTATATTTTAAATTTTGTATTCTAGTATTTTGTATGTTCGTACCTAATTTATTTTCAGTTTGATACATTCACAATATGTTGATTGTTTGTTGCTTTATATATTTTTTTTGTAGTCCTGAAGAAGTGTTTAATTAAACTCGAAACGTTGAGTTTTTATTCCGTCCTATGAACCGAAGAATCTAAATTTAATAGTGATATTGGCCTTAATTATAAAAACCCTTTTTTCAAATAATGACAGTGAATTTATTTTTGCAGGTGGTTGCAGCATCTTCCCAAGCTTTAAGTTCCGCTTTGAGACCCCAAGGGGCCACTACAATTGCTGGAATAAGACTGCAAGGTTCCCCCAACACATCGCAACACGCTATTTTATCACAAGTATCAGCTGCACTCAACCAAAACATGACTGCTAGACAGGTAAGCAAACAACATGGCACTCCTAAATAAATGGACGTCTACTTGAGTGTAAACTTTTGGCTAGTCCTAGCAGTTATGCAATAAACATTAGCATTGCCTCTTCTTCGGAGAGACTTTTTTCTGAAAGGATGTATACAGGGTTATTGGTTATAAATTAACCACCCACTATAGAAATATTGTTGTAGCAAGTTGATCAACAGAAAATAAATTAAAAATAACAATGTAAAAAACGTAATGAGTAAAAAACTAAATATGATAAAGCTAACGAACTATAAATACCTATTTAGAATCAGGAAGAGAAGATCTAACAGAAAAACAGGATGTTTCATTTAAAATTTGAAAATTCATACACACACAGAAAAAATGGATCACCCTGTAGAAATTTAAAAACCATCATATAAAAGCCTGCATTAAACAAATCAATTTGCATAATAAACTTTTTTCTCTTAAAATAGTTATTTATGTCATCAGGCTCAGAAATGGGTATTTTTGTGGTGAGCTCAAGGTTTGAAGGCCGACGTATAGCAGAGGCCCATAATTGAGTGAAGCACAAAAAGACATTCGGGGCCAAATGGCATACAATCTTCAAGGGCTTGCAATATTTCCGTTCACAACTTAATCACTGCTGTTTTCATCCATTTTCAGAAAAATACACTAAATAGCTGATAAATTCACGACGGATGATTTGTTTACTTCAAATGTCAAATCAGTATCCATTCACTCGGAAAACATTTTACTGTTCCGAACATGAAAGCTCGTGTAAGCCAGCAGATACGTAGGTTTGAATTGGGATTTTTTGCTGTGGCGTGTGCAGCGCGGAATTTGGAAACGCCAGAGAAATAGGAGTATATAGGATATGTGCCTGAAAAAATGAACATATAACAACCAATCCCATTTTATAAGCATAAGCACCTGATAGCATTCTTAATCATGCAGCTCACCAAAAATAAAATAGAACTGTAACCATGAACTACTGCTTATTTTCAGATTCTTACATCAAACTTCTTGATACAATCCATCAACCATCTCTGCTTCGCTGCTGGTTGGATTTGCAAGAATTTCTTCCATCTGTATCGGTCCTCCTACCATCTTGTCCAGTCTTGAATACAACCAATCTGTAGGACCTCTGTTCAACTCACAGTTCAAGAGCACATGATTAATATCACCCACTTCACCACATTCACAATACTTGCTGTCCTGCATGCCAAGTTTGTATTTGTGTTTAGGTATGAGGCAATGTGTAGTTCTGATTCTGCAAAAGACGCTAGTCTTTTGTCTGTCAGCCCTTTTAATTTTTGCAAACCACAGTGTTCTTTGGGGGTTTCTTCGTAAATTTGTAGTTTTGGCTTGAATGACTTCTACCTTTATTGGTAAATTCCACAGTCCATGTCTCTTCCTTAGCTACTCTGAATAAATCATCATAGTGTATTGTTCTATTGATAGTATTATTTGCCTCTCGGCCTCTTCCAGCATGTCTATCTGCCTTTTCTAGCATGTCTATCTGTCTTTTCATTTCCTGTTATGCCTGTATGACTAGGCACCCACAGTATTTTGATTATTTCCTTTCCTCCATCCTGCATATCTAATATTTTCTTCCTCGTTCTCAACGTGATTCTATCGGTTCCTCTGTTGATGCCATCTCTGACAATTTTCAAAATAGCACTTTTAGAATCCGATATTAATACAGCTTTTCCTGTGTCAATCTTTAACGTATTGAGGACCGTATAGATGGCTAGCACCTCTGCCGAACAAATGTTGGTTAGATCCCGGCATTATTGAGATTTTCCTTGTGTTGTATTTTCGAATTCCGCAATGTGTTGATATTGGCTGCAAAGATGCATCTGTATTTTTTCATGGTCCGAGTATTCCTCCGACAACTCCTGTAATAAGAGTTGGCCAGCTGGACTGAACTTTTGTGTATTCGAATCCACCCAGTCGATTTTCCGCAGTTGAGTTTCCATATCCTCTTCAAAACATGGCAGATTGTCCATTCTTTCCAATATTCCTATGTGGACCAACGCATAATCCACTTCCTCCACTACCGCCTGAGCGCACTTGGTCCGCCAGCCTTTTGACCTTGTCCCCTCTAATTGCTACTTTTCTGAGCATCAACTTTGTACTAAGTAGGTTCCTTCGCTTTATCAATGGAATTTCTGCCGATTCAGATAACAACGCCATTATGGGAGTGCTCTACATGCAGCCAGTCACCACTCTCAAGGCCTGGTACTGAATGCGATCCGTTTTACTAGAATTCATCTTGCTTATTGGTAGATCGCTTGACAGCCATAATCAAAATGGGTTCTAACCAGCCCTTTATAAATGTTCCACAATATATTTGGGTCAGCGCCCCACCAGATTCTTGTTATTGCTCTCATTATGGTAATTCCTTTCTGCGCCTTGTTAATCACATATTCAATGTGTTCGTTCCACTTCAACTTCCTGTCCAATATGACATCCAAGTACTTATAATTTTCAACCCACTCAATTTCTCTATTTAACACACCCTTATATTTGTTATTGGATTATTTCTGATAGCCTTGGAAAACAACATAGTTTTAGTTTTTTCTGTTGAAATATCTATGTTATGGCCCCTTAGCCATTCCGTCAATCTGTTCAAAGCAACCTGCACTTTTCTTATACCGCGATTTCCTGTATTTGATTGGTGTACATGTTGAATAACAGAGGACTCAGTGGCGATACCCGCGGCAACCTCATGTGTGCTTTTTGTGGACCTATTAGGTTTCCATAGAACGGTTCTCTAGGGGAAGCCGCACATCAAAGAAACATGAAACGTGAAACATGAAACATAAAACGTGAAACACGTTTCATGAAAATAAAATAGGGCAAACAAATAGAAGTCCGCCCACCAATGAAACGAATTTGTTTTATGCGCATGAAACATTTTTATTACTTGAAACGTGTTTCATGAAATAGATTGCGTTCTATTTTTCTGTCTCAGTTTCACTGTTTCTCTTCAACTAGGATCAACAATAGAACATAATTTTGTAAATGTTTGTGTACTATTCATTCTATAAAAAGATTGAAATTTGGCGGGATGATTGTTTCATTCCTTTGCAACCAAAAATATGCTATGTTTATGATTTATTATATTATTGTATGGATGAACCCAGTAACGTCGTTTCTTTTTTTTTTGCTTTTTGATGATAATAAAAGAGACGCTACAACAGCAACAACAACCTCGTCATCACTTTCCATTGTGTGCTACACTCTATACTTCACACTTAGTTTCTTTAATTAGTATGCAAGAAAGAAACGGTTTCGCTTTTCGTAATTTATTGTTTCATGTTATATGTTTCATGTTCTATGTTTCACGTTTCATGTTTCTTTGATGTGCGGCCTGCCTAGTTATATTTCTATCTGAATACAAGTTATATGTACATATATATACCCAATAATCCATTCATTAACCCCGGCTTCTTTCAACTTCTCTCTAAGAATTTCCAATGGTACATTATCATTATCAGCCCGAATATCTATGAAGGCACAAAGTATCACTTCATTATTGGTAAATGCTGTGTAAATTGATTTAGCCAAAATGACCAGGTTGTCTATGGTCCCTTTTCCGTTTCTAAACCCGTTTTGGACTACATTGAAATAATTTTTTTTCTCCAAGAAATTTTCTAAACGTGTCTTAACCATGCTTTCCATTTATTTACCAAGGCACGATGTCAAAGCTATTGGTATGTATGCTTTAAAGTCTTCAGGGTCTTTCTTGGGTTTTTTAAGCGGGTTGACGATTTGGTTTCTCCACGCCTGCGGAATACCTGTCTCCTGTCTAAGGATTCCATTAAAAAGCTGCAACAAGGTAGTTTTCATAAAAGGCGGTAGTCTTGAAAACATACGGTAAGTAATTCCGTGTTCTCCTGGCGCTGTATCCTTTTTTTTCTTGAAGGAGAATCTCAAGCTTATCTATACCTAATTCAATGCACTCATCTTCAATCCGATTATTCACCAATACGTCTGGATTGCCGCTGACAAAGGGAGGGGCTAGCGTATTCAGTAGGTCTGTCACCTAATCTGTCTTATCTGTGTATTTGACTTCATTCACTATATTGTTTGAAAATTTCTTAAGTACCCTCCAGCCATACCCGATCGCTGATTCTCTACTAAGTGTTTCTGTTAACTTTCGAAAGCCATCTTTCTTTTTTTGCTTTAGGACTCGTCTTGTTCTGGCAGCAAGTTGCTTGTATTTTAGAAAATTTTCACTCATCTCAAATAAATTCTCATCGCTTCGTGTCTTTCAAGTGTCAACTGTGATTCTGTTACAATCTTTATCCCACCAAATTGGCTTTGGGGTATAATTGTTTTTTCTTGACCCTGAGACTCTTGGGATAGCTTCTTCCGCTGCCTGATGGATTTTATCGGTAAATGCCTGATAGGAATTAATATCCCCCCTATCCTTCTCAAAGAACCTATCATATTTATCCCAGTCTGTTTTATCCGTTTTCCATTTCCTTAATGGCTTCTTTTCCTGTTTTTGACCTATCAGTTGTTTTCTAATGCAGCATACAGTCGGGAGATGGTCACTGAAACCAGTCTGTTCGGAGAGATACCAGTTACAGCTTGTTCCCAGGTCCTGCGATACGATTGTTATGTCCGGACAACTTTTATTTTGGTTCGGTGGGGTTATTCTCGTGCTATTAACATTATTAATGTGTGAACCCCACAGACTATATTGATCATTTGGATCCCCCATGATGATAAATGGAGCTTGTATTCCCCCAAAGGTATTGTGGATGTTCTTTAGGGAAAGTATGACATCTGGCGGTACGCCGTGACAATAGTAACTTCTTTAATTTTGATCCCCATGACATGGCATCTCTGGTTGAAGTTATTATTCATGTTACATTAAGTGTGGGGTATGCCTTCTTTGATCAAGGTAGCAATACCTCCTTTTCCATCATCTCTATCCAATCTGTGTGTTACATAGTATTTGACCTTCAAAGCATTTTCTGCATTAAGCTATGTCTCATTAATCA